TTCCAACCTTGGCCGTCAGTGGCGATCTTTCTTACTCTGTCCACCAGAGCCGTGGCGGCCCTAGGCACCCTGGCCGGCCGGGGACGGACCCGGGGCCGGTGAAGGATTTGTCTTCTTGGAGGGATGACCCCCCTCCTTCTTGTGATTGTGGATCTCGTCGGCGTCGGCATACAAGCCTCCGTGCTGGAGCGCCTTGGCGTACGACCTCGGAGGGTCGGTGATAAGGCTCCTAGCGTATGGGGAGCTGCGGAGGGCTCCCTGATACAAGGCGAGGAGGGTGCGCTCATCGGCCCCCTCGACTTCCTCGGTTTCCCTCGTCCACCGATCAATGAATGACCGGAGGGACTCCTCGTGCTGCTGCTTGACGGAGAGGAGGTGAGTGAAATACTTCTTCGCACGCTTCCTCCCGGCAAAGTGGGTGAGGAAGCGTTGGGCGAGATCCTGCCATGAGTCGATGCTCCCTTCGGGGAGCGCGTTGAACCACTCGTACGCTGGCCCCTCGAGAGTAGAGAGGAACCAACGGCAGAGGTATTCGTCGGACGCGTTCACCATCAGCATGTTGTTATGATAGCGGCTGAAGTGTTCCTGGGGGTCTGATCGGCCGTCGTAGGACTTGATGGCGTTCCCCCTGTACTTCTCCGGGATGGGGGCCGAGAGGACCCTGTTGGTGAAAGGGATCCTGGTCCTGACCTGGATGATGAAGTCACCTCGCCCCTCGGCCAGCTCCTTCTCCAGGGCGCTGACCTTGTTCATGAGCGCGTTGATGCCGGGGTCGTTGGAGGCGCCGGCCGTAGGGATGTTAGCCGACTGCTTGGCTTCCATCTGAGCCAGCCTCCTTTCCAGCTGGGCGATGACCTCATCCCGGGGGTCCCTGGCAGCCGCAGCGGCGCCCTGCTGGTTCCTCATGCGCTCGTCGTGAGCCGCATTGATCCGGTGGCGCACGTCGTCTTCGTGCAACTTTCCATTGCCCTTGTCCAGGCGGGGCTGGTCCGCTGTCCGGGACACAGACCCCAAGCTTTCCCTCGGCGAGCCAGGACGAGGCTCGCCAATCCGTCCCGCCATCCTCTCCGAAACCGGACGACGGCGCGTGGCGCCTAGCCTGTTGAAGGCAGAGGCTTTTCCACGCGCTGGGGTCTGCCCAGGCCGAAGAGGGGAAGCAGGGTGGGAGTGGGACGACGCCGTGTCCTGGGCCACCACCCCCTCATCGTTGCCTATCTGGACGGCCAACGGTTGGGGCTGAGGAGGTGGAGTGACGTTCCCCCCGGTCCTTGGCAAGAGTGCGCTGAGGACGGTGGGGTTCTGAGCCAGGCTGGCGATGATGATCGACAGCGCGGCCTGGACCTGTGGATCCACGGACGGAGAGGCCGCGACCATAGGCTGGGCCGGGGCGTGGTCCGTCTTCTCAGCTCGTTTCTTGTCCAAGCCGATGCGGGCATCAGGGGCTCCACCGTTGAGTTGGTTGTGGAGGTCCGTCGTGAGGTTGAAGGCCTCCTGGAAGACGTCCCCTCCGCCGACCTGGTCGGCCGTGGCGTCCTCATCGTGCTCCTTGGGCTCTTGGTCCTCAGGGATGGCCTTGCTGACGAGGTTGCGGTTTGATTTAGTTCTTCCCATGATCAGTGGTTAGCTGTGCTTGGTAGCGACGAAGGGTGCTAACTTGATTGTTCTAGCTCTCAATGAAAGCACCAAATGATAGAGTATATCTAGAGAGAAGTGAGAGCTAGAGAGAGAAGTGCAATATATGCTTCAATAGAATGAATTTGTCACCCCTATAACTACTCCCAAGGGGAGTATTTATAGAGAAAATACGGGCTGGGCTCCCAAGCCTTGGGCTTGGGAGGCCCATTTACAACTGGACCGCTACTGGGCCGAATACAAAGCCACTAATGGACAGTACAAATAAGTAAGTATGAAATCCGGTTCTGTGAGGTCTTCGTGGCCGACGAGGGCGTGGCCGACGAGGGCACGGCCGACAAGGGCACGGCCGACGAGGGCACCCGGGTTCCTTGGGCTCAGGACCATAATCTGGGTTGGCACCTTTTCGGCCGACGGGGGTCCCTTGGCCGACGAGAGCGCCACTCTGTGTTTTGTGCTTTCTGTTCTTCTGAGTATGTGGGTCCGGGGGCTTAGACCCATATACTCCATCAAAACCTGAATATAAAAATGATGTGATGAACTTTTATGTAAACTCTGTTCCACCCTTTGTGGTTTGTACATTAACATAATCATTGACTCTGTATTAATGTGTTTATGTAGCTTTTTATCAATGCAGTGTGCTGCAGTTTGAGTGTAGATGTTTCAGCTATTGGTCATCTCATTATATCACACACACACTTATCCTACTCCCTAGGCTTATTATTGTATAGCTACGAAAGGGGTGAACAATATCACCTCCCATGTACTTGAGTTCATATTGATGTGTCGTTGATTTTGATTTTTTAAAGGTTAAGCAGATTAATACATTTTGATCATTTGATGCAAGCTTGTGGATAAAGAATATTGAGACTTTTGCAGTAGATAAAGATTTTTTGACAACTTAATCATTTGCATTTTGGAATTTTTGTAGTGTTTTTTGCTAAACTATTTGGTGGTAATAACATTATATTAATGTTTGAACCCCGGTTGGGATTTAACAGTTTCATTGATTTGATGATGCATGTATGCATTTTTAAGTTTATGTTGGAGATTGTGATTTTATCAAGTAGTATTACAATTCATCAAACTCATATTCTCTATGGTTTAATTATTTTCGATTATTGTTCGGTTATATGTTATTGACCGAAACCGAATATTCCCTTTTCGGTCGGTTATTCTGATACATCAGTCGGTTTTCGGTCGATTATTTGTTTGGAAATCTGTAATCGGTTATTCGGTTATCAGTCGGTTATTTGACCGACCGACCGAATGCTCACCCCTAATTGAATCACCTATTTGGAAGAGGATTTGCTACATCCATTCCACTCCCATGGAGCTATGTGATGTTTCTTCCCAACCAATCACTTGGAATCTGGAACCTCGGGGCCATTTTTCTTTCAAATCTGAATACAATAAGGTTAGAGTCAGTAATGGCTCCACTTTTTCCCTTACACATCTATGGCATAGTCAACAAAAGCTATATCAAGATTGTTTAGTGGAAAGTGTTCCACGGGTTCATACCTATTACTGATAAGCTTTACATGTTTAAATGGATTATTTTACCATCCTTTTGGCCTATGTGTAGGAATCGTAGTGACATTATGAATCATGTGTTCTATTAGTGAAGCAAAGTTAAGGAAATATTGAAATACTTTATGGGTATAATGAAAAATCCTACCTATTCTCATACAAACTCTATTAGACAAGTTTTATCAATTGGTGGTTTCAAGCGGGTAGCAAAACCTTCCAAAGAAGGGCTAGGATTTATCATTTATACACAGACCTGGGTTCGGAGCTAAACCCATTCAAAGTTCTCATCTGTCCCTAAGATTATATACAAAGAAGGGTTGATTTTGTACTCCTTAATGAAGAAAGTTCCTTCATTTGCTACAACGAAGTGGATTAAGCCTAAAGGTAAACTGAAATTAAATATTATATTGACGCTTCTTCTTTACTTGAAAGGGCTGTTGGCAATTTCCTAAAAGGCGTTAGATGCTAGTCGGGCGCCAGCCCAGCGCCTAGTGCCTAGGCGGCTATGCAGGTGTCTATGCGGGGACTAATCGCAGACATAAACCTTATAGTTTTATCAAAGTTTTCGCATAAATATTATTAGTAATGTTGTGTGTGTGTGTGTATAGGGTGCGGCTTCAATGAAAACGATGTTTAACGTGAGAACGTGAGAATAAATCCTAGCTTTTGATCTGGAGAAACGAAAGACTCATTAATTGGAAGGTGCATAATAAAACCATATACCGTGTCACACACGTACACATTTGGCAAACTAGAATGAAGATCATCACATGATTAAAGGGTAAAAAGGTCAAACTATGGAGGTTATAAGTTACGTAACATTAGGAAAGATAAATGGTGAAATCATATAAAATTGTTTAGTTTAAAAATTGATTTAACTTTCTAAATTATAATCTGATTTGAAAAAAATTTATATCAAATTAAATAATTTTTTTATCTTTCATATGACACCAATATGTCATATATAATTTTGTTTCAAAAAAATAAGTATAATATGTATACAATAAACCATAAGAAACATCTGCAGCTACCGCATGCACAACAATATGTATATGACACTCTCAAATGAGAACAAGTCTTAATGTGAGAACGTGAGAACAAATCACAACCATCGCATGAGAACGTGAGAACAAATCACAACGTGAGAACATCAGATGCATTCTCACTTCTTACGATAAACACTCTTCTCATTTGATCCTTATTATATATATATATATATATATATATATATATATATATATATATATATATATATATATAGTCATTCTCATGTCCAGCACCTTTCTGTCCGAACGCTGTCCGAACACCGCCGTTTGGGGCGGTTCCCGGTGGACTTTTTTATGAATTGTTTTGAGCATGTTCCTCATCAAGTCTAGTTTATCCATACCAAATTGCAGCTCAAAGTTCGATCGGGAAGGCAGTCAAATGATTCGTTGAAGTTAACTGCGTTTTTTTATGTACAATTTTGCGCAGTTAACTTCAACGAATTATTTGATTCCCTTCCTTATCCAATTTTGAGCTGAAATTTGGTATGGATAAACTAGACTTGATTAGGAACATGTTCAAAACATTTCATCAAAAATTTCCACCGGAAACTGCCCCAAACGACGATGTTCGGACGGCATTCGGACCAGGAGGTGCTGGACCTGAGAATTTATCTCTCTCTATATATATACGTGTATATACGTGTTTCCGCTATACACACACATACACATTAACATGCATGTTTGTGGGCTTATTATAAGTAACTTATTATGCATTCGTGGATAGCGGAAACGCGTATATATATGCTGTTTGTGGGCTTATTATAAGTAACTTATTCTTCAAGATTTATATACAACAAGTACACCATCCCACTTGCAAAATTATTCTTACTCTTTTGTTAGCAATTTGGTTGCACTTTCTATTTATAATAACTTTACTGTATAAAGGAATTATCCTAAATGAGACTAAAACATGGTTAAAACTCCAAAATAGGACTTTAAGTTTTAAATTGCTTAAATAGGACTTCAGATTACATTTTTACCCCTAATCCTAAAATCACCTTTCCCCAATCCCTCCGCCATCGATTCTACACCTGCGATTCAGCTCTCCCCTTCCGACATAGCTGCCATGGACGCAGCTTGACCGATTTCAATTGCAACTCAACCGCCATCATCGCAGCCGTCTTCTCAACGCCGACCGCCACCTCTTCAACGATTTCTTCGGCAAAATCAGGTATTCTTTCTCTCATTCTCCTTCTTTCTCCTCTTCCTCTTCCTCTTCCTCTTCTTCTTCCCCTCCCCCCTCTGTTTTTTTCTCCTTGCACTTCCCCTACTTGTTTTGAATTTCAAATTAATGAAGTAAACTCTTCACCCACCACGTAGCCTATATGTTCTTTTTTATATATAGAACAGATTAGTAATAGTTTAAATTACAATTGTGGTTCCTTTTTTTATCTAATGTCAATCAGAAAGGTTGGAGGGGGAGTTCATGCAGTAAGGATCGACCGTGGTTGCTAGAGAGTGGCAGTCGGAGGTTGTGCTCTGCTTGGATGGTGCGTGGCGATGATTCTATATATTGCTGGATGGCGGCAGCGCCATTAGAAGCAGTAATGTTGTGTGTCGCAGGTGTAAATCGCCAGTAGGGTGGCATATTTTTTTAATTGAGGGTAGTTTTGTCTGATCAGCTCTTTTTAGTCCCATTTTGACCAATAAAACATAGTAGTCCTATTTTTGAAAATTTACTTTGTTTTAGTTCTATTTTGACAATTCTCTCAACTACTAACTCCGTAACCCTAGAATCTTCCCAGTTTGACTCTTTTGGGTCAAACTTTATAAACTTTGACCATTAATTATTCAAAACTCACATTATGTTATGATTAAAAATTTATTTCATATAACTTATTGTAAAACATATTATTTGAATGTTAATTTATTATGAATTTTATAAATATAGATATGTAGATATTTAGAGTCAAAGTTCAACTTAGAAGACCGTGAAAAATAAAAATGGGAAGATCTTTGTATTAAACAGGTAGCATGTAGTATCCTACTTCGTATTACATGTAACCCAACCAGTGGCGGCTTTGAGGGCAGTTGGGCCAGGCAATTGCCTTGGGCCTCAACTGCCAAGAAGGCCTCCAAAAAATTCTACTCCGGTATTAGTATGAGGTGTTATTTGTAGACCGCCAATACATCGAGCGATAACTGCAAGCAGAAATCGGCTTCATAGTTCACGTATGACTATCCTTCCTTCATCAAAGTTGTAGTTAATGAAGTCTTCTATCCAACACAACTTGCAAAACTGGATTTGAATCATCCAATCAAAATATATGAATAAAATGGTGGAAGGTCGCATTCTGAAATCTCAATAGAGATTATCTGACTTCATCGTCTGTTTTCACCTTGCTTCTCTCATATTCTCGCAATGGTGTTTTCATATGACTTGTAGCCCTTGAAGTTGGCTTTAATATGAAACTTTAATGGTGTTGTTTGGATGTTCCTAAGAAAATATATGCTTGAACGATTGATAGAACGTCATCCTGGCCGCTATTTTCAAGCCTTATTCGTCTTCTTTTGATCTCGTACCTAATTTTAGAGCTCTTTTGTCTTCAAAACTTTGTCTTTAACACCTCACTGACCTCCAATGCTCCTAATCGACTCTCAAATGCTTCTCAACTCGTCCCTATTGCTTCTCAAACGCCGGTATCGGACTCAAATTCCCTGATTTTGACTCCAAAAACACCAAAACTCGAACAACCTCCCGGTAAATATGACTTGAGCTTAAAATTGAGACTTATGAAGTTATTACTGATTTTGCACTTCAAAAGGTATGATCAATCGGCCAATAGGGTGTTACAAGTATAAGTTTGCCTTTGTGTTTTGCATATATTTGCATTTAAAAATTTATCCTTTTGAATATTACAAACATTATATCGTGAACTTTAAATATGCTTGTTTCATAAGGTGAATTTTATTCAATTTATCTGATTTTAAAAGTGATTTGTACATAATAAATATTTTTCGTCTGGGGCCTCCGAAATGCTCAAGCTGCCTCTGAACCCAACACAAATATATTTGAATTGTGTGATTAATGATTTAATGGTACACTACTTTTGTCCTGATGAACTAGTACGGAGTCTGATCTGAATGCGTTTTTAATGTTGACAATTGCCTCCTCCCAACAATGACCGGCGTTCAGGTGTCTTGCGGATTTGTCTCCTTAACTGATGGCGGGTCCCAAAATAAAAAGCAGTAAAATAATTGTGAATAAAATACCCTAGCTAGCTATCAAGCTAGCAAGGGACAGATCGGACAAAGGTTATAAGTTTCTCTCAATTCCTAATTACTTTCGTGTCCCTTGAAATTTTTTCATTTTCTCTTTTAATTAATTATTCTGTGGTTTTTATTATTTCTCTCTTTTCTGCATAAACTTCAATCACACAGTTTTTATTTTATTATTCTTTTGTCGGTCAAACTTGACAAAGTTTTAATGGACGAATGTACTTCTCATCCTTTATATAATAAGAACTACTTGGTAACAATAACCGTATCCGAGCCCTCATTGGTCTCCGAGACTCAATTCGTGCTTTTGAAAATATATAAACCTCCATATTTCCAATGGCAGGTCGTTGCTTCTGGGCGGTGAGTGTCGTGGTTTCCTCCTCTGCTTTCTTTGCTGCCGCCGTCTCCCTCCGGCATGTCGAGGATACCAATTGGCATCAAGGCCATTCGACTTGGTATGGGAGTCCCGAAGGCGATGGCAGTAATGGTACAATCCTCAATCTTTTTTGGTCATATTATTATATCTTCATGTTAAATGTGAACATTCTTAATTGGGATGAGCTTAGAACTCATGATCTCCTCTTTGAGAATGTCTCAGTTTAACTTACATAAAAGTATGGATTAGATATTGATGTGAGAATTGAACAAACAGGAGGGGCATGTGGGTATGGGATAATGGTGGATGTGCAGCCGTTGAAGGCGAGGGTGGGAGCGGTGAGTCCGCAGTTGTTCGAGGACGGAGAAGGTTGCGGCACTTGCTACAAGGTCAGGTGTCTGGACACTACCATTTGTTCAAATAAGTCAGTCACAATCGTTGTCGCTGACCTAGCTCCTCCGCGTTACACCGACGCACCGCTTTTCGACCTATGCGGCGCCGCTTTTGGCCGCATGGCAGTCGCTGGCAGGGGCACTGACCTCCGTGACCGCGGTGAGATGCCCATCGTTTTCCGCCGGTGGGTACTCGATCAGTCGATCATACATTTTAGTTATCATTAGGGAAATTTACCCCACTATTACTAAAAGAGAGTGGATTTCCCATGGTATGACTTAAAAACTTAATTGATCAAAATATGACCAAAAGTTAGTAACCGTGAGTACAGTAACTGAAAAATAAGCAAAATAATTTTTTTACCTAAGGCATATGGAACGTGGGTAGCATATCATTCTCCCAACAAATTATGAAAAAGAGTGACTAAGTCATAGATTGGGAAAAAGATAATCTTTTAGTCATATTAGAATTAATTTTCTCTTATCATTATTTACTCCGTATTTCCATATATACTCCGTATAAATTACAGACATATGCAACTTTAAAATATTAATACTACGAAGAAAGGTTACGTTGAAGCTAAGGTGAGAGGTGGTGATGGTTGCAGGACTCGGTGCACGTACAGAAAGAATATTGCCTTTCATGTAAACGAGGGGTCTACGGCTTACTATATTTCTCTCTTGGTCGCGTTCGAGAATGGAGATGGTGATGTTGCATCCATGAGTATCCAAGAGGTAAATTAATTACTCGTATTATGTTTTTGCACCATATATATACTTCATTTTTATTTACTCCATCAAATTCTTTATTTTCGGTTTTATAAATTGTATATATTGAGATTTCGAGCTTCATCTTTTTAAATGTAGCACAAGATTTTGGTTTACTGTCTTTTCTTTTTGAGAAAATAATTTAAATAATACAAGCTATCACCCTTAAATCAAGAATAATATATAATTTGGAAATAATTCTTAATAATATCAATTATTTGGATATATAACACTAGTGAATAGCGATAGGGGTGGGCACGGTCCGGTCCGGTCCAATATTTTACCGAACCCGTACCTAGACCGTTACTATTAAAACGGTTCGGTTCGGTCTTAGACCTAAACCCGTTCTGTATGGTTCCATTTTCAAACGGTCTGATACCATGTCATACCAATACCAAACAATGTCATTCTTTTCGACAAATTAAAAATTAGTCATCATCCAAAAATCCACACAATTATCAATTTTCACGTTACATATATAGTTAATGAATTTCATATAATCTATAATAGTACAAAATGTAACAACTAATAACAATTATGGATGTAATAGATTATAATTTATTACATCCAAAATCACCATTATGGATGTAATAGATTAAAATCACTAATGGATGTAATAGTGCTCCTGCAAGCAGCTTGCAGTGAACTAGGCAATTAGCAAAGTTCAAATGAGTAATCAAAGTAATGGTAATATGGTATACATGTATATATAATTATAAAATTATATAAATTAATAAAATTATAATTCGGTCCGGTTCGGTCCGGTACAGGTTCTCATTTTATGAGAACCGGTCATGGCATGGTTTGGAACCGGTACGGTCCGGTTTGGGACAAAATTTTTGAGAACCGTTTGAAACCCTATTTTTTGGTCCGGTACCATACCGGTCCGGTTCGGGACCATGCCGATTCGGTAATTTTGCCCACCCCTAAATAGCGATACGGTCCATACGGATTTGTTTTTCACTAGAAATGTAGTCATTTAACTTTAAAACCCCTAATATTAACATATCAAACAAGTGACCACGTTTTGAAATAACCTTTATTAGATGATTTGTAGTCAGTCCAATATATATTTTTGTTATAAATTTTACGGAGTAATAGCTAGTAGCATTAAATTAAAACATATTCACTACAAAAAATTACGGGATTGTCATGGATTTATCGATAATTTCGTGCCAAATAGTTCGTGTCAAATTGTTTTTGGCAAGGATTTGGAATATCCCTGCCAAAATCTCTACCAAAAATCCATGCCGATCCCGTGTTTTTTGTAGCGATTGCTAAATTATATTATTGGCTTATAGGTGATGCTTGATACAGAGTACTTTTTATACGGAGTATTATTTTCTCTATTGTCTTGCAACCACACTAATTTAACATATTAAATTAAATTTGTAGTATCTATAGGTCCTAGAGAAATGGGATGATGTTATTCAAGTATTACGTACAATTTAGTGGGCAAAGGTAGGAAAATTTGTGAAAATGGCATTCCATTTCAAAACTAATATTGTATGCAGTAAAATAGTAATTTTGATATAAGCACATCATTTAACAAGACTATTTAATGTGGGTCACCACAATGCAAATCTACGATTAACACTTCCTCCGATTTTAAAGAAGTGCAACAATCAATTTTTCACATTTGACCATGCACAATTTCAATCATTAAATATACAGGATACTCTAAATAGAACATACAAACAATGTAAAATTTAACATGTTGCATTTATTTAAAAATGAATGTAGTATATTATGCATTATCAATTTTTTATTCAAAACACAATGTCAACTAACTTTAGTCCCCATTAGTCAAATGTTTTTAATAATTGAAAAGGGGAGCTTAGTACCAAATTATTTCAACAGCCCGCAACGTAAAAGTTTTGGTTTGAAGATATGTAAAAAGCTTTGAGTTTTTCAAATGGAAAAAGAGAGGAGAAATACTTGCTCCCGACTCCGAGCTCCTTGTTCTCTTAACTCCCCAAGGAAAATAAACAAATTATCTCAAAGTCAATGGTTTAAAAAAAAAGGTCAATGTGGAGGACCTAGGGGAGGCGCTAGAGGGGCAAGTGCCCCGTTCTGACCCGAAGTTTAATATTAGCACCTAATCAAAAATCGTGCCCCCTACTCGAACAAAAAAAACTGCCACCTTCTACGTTTTAGATATAGGGATAACTTCTAAACATTGAGGTTGTGATAGAGCAAATCCTTACATATAAACATTTTCTAACTTAGTATGAATAATGTTTGTCTAAAGTTAAATGTCAAAGATATAACAAGACTTCTAATATATTGGATGAACTTAATAGATTGAAAACTTTTACCGTAAATAAAAATTCATACATGAAAAAATGTGTCAATTTGCAATAAATTAATGTCAGACGAGCGACCAACTCTTTTTGATTTTTTATCTATTATATGATAAAAGTTAGATATATAAAATCATATTATTAAATAAGCTAGGTTGTATTTAAGGATGAAATAGCAAACTTGAATTATACTTCATTTTTAATACAATAGTATTATATTGCAGACAATTACCAACAAATTTTGTGACACGAGGTGTAGCGTTAGACATAATCCCAGTTCAAAAATGAAATCTTGACCAATTTATAGTATGAAAATCAACGAAAAATCTAATACAAAATCAGAAATGACGCAAGGATGAATCATTTATAATCCAAATTATAATCTTTATTTTTGAAAGCCAAATACTCGTATTATTGTTTAAAATTTTCTTAATGACTCCACAACTAGACTTATAATACATAAATGTCAATTCTTTGAAACTGACATTGAATAATCTATTTCCAGATAAAATAATAATCTGAACACACTAGACAGAATAGACCAATAGTACACCTGACCCGACCCATTTCCTTTTGTGATAGTGCCCCCAGTTAAGAGAACTTCTGAGTTTGTCACTCTTCTTGAAAAAAGGATGACACCCCATCCCTGAGGGACCCCAACCCCGACCGGACAGTACGCTGGGAGGATATAAATTGGACTATAATCTCAACCTGACAGATAGAGAGTGAGGCTCTGTCCCTGATACTTACAAAGACGTTATGCATTTTTAGTATAGTAACCTCGGTACTTCATCACTCTTCTTGAGTGTCTAGAGAAGGGTCATGTTGTATAATGGACAAGCTTTCAAATTTGACAAGGGACCCATCGAAGACTTGTACCTGTCAAAGAATAGTTTTAAATATAGAGAAAGTAGTCAAATATGTTCTTCTGCTATATTGAAAAAAGTCAATCAGATTCTCGTACTTCAAATCAATCGATTAAATCCCCAAACTCTTAAAACACTCAATTGAATTTTTTCGTAGGTAAGTATCAAAATTGTGGGTTAACTTTCGTACATGGCGATTTTTTAATTTTTTCAATTTTTTTTTGAGAATTTAATTTTTTCAATTTTTATAAAATCTAAATTTAAAATCTCTCTCTTTCCGTTTGACCTCCTCTCTTAAACGCTCCTTCTCCTCAAAATTGCTAAAATCCGGCGGCAACCCCTTGTCGAGCATGGAACCAGGCGAAAACTGCCGACGTAGCCTATCGAATTTCACCACTAGATACAGGTTTGACTCGGCGCTCATATCAGCTTCAAGGGCACACCGTGATGTACCGAAGCCTCTCCTAAATTGTCCCAATTCAATTCTTCACTCAATTTTCTCATGTCAATAACGAAACATAATTTATTATTATTAATTCATGTACATTTTGTACCACACGTGCATGTATACTACATGATACGGATCATCATTATCACGTTAGTTAGTTTATTTATTTAGTAGATAATTATCTCTTATTTAGATACTTATCCAATACACAATTGTAGTACGTTTACATGTATATATTACTCCTGATGAGATCAATGAAATGAAGGCAAATATTACTCTCACATTACTTCTTTATGGTATCAAGAGCCATACTCTAACGAGATCTACAAAACCAATTTTTTTTCCGGCCACCACCATGATTATCACCGCCACCACTGCCGTGGTTCCCCTCACCGCCACTACCAATTTTCCAATCAAACTGACATCTTCGAACTACCCTGTCTCGGCCTCGATTCCTACATCGATGGCACCACTCAAGTCCCAGCTCCATATCTTGATGACGCCAAAACACAACCAAACCCATGCTATACTATTTGGTATAGACAAGACCGAACAATCCTCAGTGCATTACTGGGAAGCTGCTCCGACACCATCCAACCGCTCATCTCTGCCGCCACCACAGCACGTCAAGCGTGGGACAAATTAGGTCTCACATACGCCAGCACTTCTCGCAGTCGGATTATCTCCCTCAAATCCACCCTGGGAAAGATCAAGAAAGGCACTCGGTCGGTGCAGGACTACCTCAACGAGGTCTATGTTGTTGCTCAAGATCTTGCCCTCGCGCAGAATCCAGTCTCAGAGGAAGATCTCATTGTCAACATTATCAATGGTCTTGGTCCGGAATATAGCGAGATCACTTTGGCCACCCGAGTTCGGCCAACGTCTCTACCATTGATGGAATTGTAAGAAATCCTGAAGGAACATGAAGAACATGCCTAGTCTGCTCCTCCTGCGGAAACTGCCCTACTGCCCACGGCAAATGTCACGCAAACCTATGGACGTGGTTCCCCAGATCGGCGCTCCGGCTATGAGTGTCGCAGTTCGTTTCCTCGTCGTGGTCGTGGTTCCCATAATGGGCAACAGTCCCGACCTCCAAACTCAATGCTCCAATGTCGCTTTTGTGATCATCTCGGTCATGAGGTCCGGGAATGCCGTAAATTACAACGCTTCTTGCGGGAACATCGTGTGCCAACCCAAGCTGCTCCAATAGCTCACTATACAAATGCGGCATCTTCCCTTCAGGACCAGCCTTGGCTATTTGATAGCGGGGCTTCACATCACATTACTAATGACGTAGCTCAGCTTCCATCCTACTCCGACTATGGCGGACCTGAGGAAATTCACCTTGGTAATGATAAGACTCTCCCTATCACCCATTCCGGCCATACTTTATTACCCTCCAACACCAAACCTTTGCACCTCAATAATGTCCTCTGTGCTCCAGATTTACAAAAGAATTTATGTGAATTTTTCTCATCTCATTTTCTTGTGAAGGATCGAGCAACGGGGGTACCACTCTTACGCGGGGAGAACAAAAATGACGTCTATTATGCCAATATTCCAAGTCCACCGCAAGTGCATATCACAAATTCCGGTCCGGCTCAATTTGTGCATCACTTTCTTGGTGTGGAAGTTATTCCCACACATAATGGCTTGTTCCTTTCCCAACGCCAGTATACTCACAATATACTTGAGAGCTGTCACATGACCGAAGCTAAACCTGCTGCTACCCCAATGACCGCCACTATGCTAGCGACATCCGTCACTCCAGACTCTATCACTGATCCCACACGTTACCGCCGCACTCTTGGACTCCTTCAATACCTTGCTATCACCCGGCCTGTAACATATGCAGAATCCCACCGAACTTAACTGGCAGGCTGTAAAAAGAGTGTTGCGTTATGTGAAAGGAACCTTGGAATTCGGCCTATACTTGCGCCGGACTACCAACCTTGCGCTGACGGCCTTCAGTGACTCAAATTGGGGAAATCTTGCTGATGCCGGTAGGTCAACCACTGCATATGTCATTTATCTTGGCACCAACATTATTTCCTGGAAATCAGCAAAGCAAAAATGTGTGGCTCGCTGTTCAACTGAGGCCGAATATCGGGTTGTAGCCCATGCAAGTGCAGAACTCATTTGGGTGAAGAGTCTTCTCCATGAACTCGGTATCACTATTCCGGCAACTCCCACTCTCTTTTGTGATAATCAAGGGGCGACATATGTCTGTGTCAACCCGGTTTTCCATTCCCGCATGAAGCATTTGGCATTGGATTACTATTTTGTGCGAGACATGGTAGAGCAGGGCCAGTTGAAAGTCTGCCACATCTCTAGAAAATTGCAAATAGCTGATATTTTGACAAAGCCACTTGGCAAGGAACCATTTGAAAGATTTCGGTCCAAGCTGGGAGTTTCCAACGGACACTCCATCTTGAGAGGGCGTAATGAAACATAATTTATTATTATTAATTCATGTACATTTTATACCACACGTGCATGTATACTACATGATACGGATCATCATTATCACGTTAGTTAGTTTATTTGTTTAGTAGATAATTATCTCTTATTTAGATACTTATCCAATACACAATTGTAGTACGTTTACATGTATATATTACTCCTGATGAGATCAATGAAATGAAGGCAAATATTACTCTCACATTACTTCTTTAGTCAAATCATTGAGATGCTGCAATTAATACTCAACTTGGGCAGCACCGCAACCTAAATACATCTGAACTGGACTTCCTCTCCGGCCAGGTGTAACCCACTTTGGTCGCCGAAGAAGAGCAAATGCATCATATTCTCCAATCACCAATTTATACATCATTTTCTTCTTCAACGATTTACACATGTATATACATATATATGTATGTATGTATATATATATATATATATATATATATATATATATATATATATATATATATATAGCTATGTGCCTAGCTAGATGTATATATCGGAAATAATGGCCCAAGTATGACTCCCAACTTCTAGCAGGACAAAAACGGGAGTAGTTTTTATTTAAGACAATTATATGACTAAAGTTAAATGAAAGGTTTAAAATGCCCATTGTCGTATTCTCCCTTGCGAGTCAGGCGGGCTTCTTCTACTCCGTCACAGGCAAGGAGCACCTAACTCCATGGTGCGACCATGCGACATCAGGCTATTCACACCAGAGGAGGCAACTCCATGTCAGCGAAAGTGACCAACAACAACGCCAACAACCAATCGGCTCTTCTTCATACACTTCTTTTCTTCTCCTCGATTTTCGCCATGGCCGATATTCGCCATTGGAGGGCGGTGGTAAAGGGTTACAGAATGATCGAAGGGCGATTTGTTTCAAGAAACAAACCAGATCTAGATTCAAAACGGCGATAGCTAGGGTTGGGGCTGGTGAAGCGGCGGCCGTTAGGGTTAGGGCGGAGATGACAAATTGGGCTAGGTGTTGTGGTTGCGGTTGCGGTATTTCTGTGGTTGATGCGGTGACCATCGATTTGGGGCTGCGAGTGGAGAAGTTGCAAGGGATGGGTAGTGGGGCTGAGAAAGGGGTTGGGAAGATGGGCAGGGGGCAGGGGTGGGCTGAGGGTGGGCTGGTGGGATGGCTGTGGACTAAGGGGCGGTGGTGGCCGGAGTTGGGCGGGAAGTCACTGTGGCCAGTGGGCTGACTGTCACTATGGTCAAGTCACTATTGGCGGGCGGTCACTGTGGTAGGTGGGCAGGCAGTCACTTTGACCGATAGGTCGGAGTCACTGTGACCGGAGTCACTGTGACTTGAGTCACTTTGGCCGGAGCCACTTTGGTCAGAGTCACTTTGTCATTGGAGGATATAATTGTGAAATTGGCCATATTTTTGGAAATAGAAAAAAGATGTCACAGTTTTGTCTTTTATCCTCATTTTTGTAATATTGAGGACAAAAGGCCTATATATCGACACCAACTTCTCCTGGTCCAATCTCCATGGCCGTCGCCAACACCTCCTGGGTGTCTTGAATTTCATACCAAGTCGGAGAAGTCTTGACACTATAAAGCGGATACGAAAGGAAGCCAAACAGAGTGTTTTTTAGTTGGGTGAAATTCATAGGACTAATCCCTACTTTTAGAGATTCTACAATAATAATCCATACTCAGATTATTCACAAAATAATGCGAATTAGCAATTATGTTCATTAGAATAAATTGGGGTGAATTCAAATTAATGTCGTTTAGTACTCTCAACCTTTACTCCCACTTTTCTCATCCACAACCTTCTTCTCGGGACAAATTCAAACTAAAACTCATTTAATCTCAACACTATTTCCGCCATATGTAGTTTTCTCTGTATTGGAACATAAAAGTGTTAACCCAGACGAAAGGTAGTGAAAGGGAAAGTGGAGGTAGGGGTTGGAAGTAGTCAATGCACATTAATTTGAATTCACTCGAATTTATTATTGTGAGTTTTTACCACTTTTAGTTCTCCAACAATTATGTTACTGACACTTTTGGTACTAGAATTTGAATTTTTCCACTTTTAGTCCCTCAACTATTGTGTGAAAGATACTTTTGGTATCCGTCTTTAAAAATTTCCATATTTAGTCCTTCGACTTTTGTAAAAGTGACATTTTGGTCCTTCCAACTATTGCAATAGTGACTTTTTTATTCATCTACTTATTGTGTCAAAATCATAGTTGAAGAACTAAAAGTGTTAATCTGATAATACTCAGGGGACTGAATGTGGAAAACTTGGAAGTCGAGGAGACGAAGACTAGAAGTGTCTCTTGCACAATAGGCAAAGACTAAAAATAGAAAAATTAATAGTCGAGTACCAAAAGTGTCACTAACACAATAGTCGAGGGACCAAAAGTGGCGAAAACTTTTATTCTTCTGGACAATATTGCTAGTACAAATTATTTTTATGAACACTCTCAATAGGAATTATTATTATAGAATCCATAAAAGTGGGGATCATTCTTGTGAATTTGTCTTTTGGTTTTGACTTGATATACTAGTATTGCCTAAATACCTTTTCACTTTGAATTAATTTTATTTAAGTGATGTGGCATATATGTGGCCATGTGAGTCACCATATTAATAGTCCACATGTGATGGTAACCTCTAAACGTGATGTTTTTCTACTAAATTGTCTAATTGACTTTTTTAAGTAGTTTAGGAATTCAATTAAAGTAGGAGGATCTAATTGATTTTTTCGAGATAGCATGATGGTTTATTTGATAGTTTTCCCTTAAACATAAATTGGATTTCATTTTCATCTATATTTATATAAGAAATGAATTAGATGAGAGAATGCATAAAGATGCGGAGGTTCGCATGCTCGATTGCCGTTCAATAAGCCCTGACCTTGATGGTATACCAAAACTAGGCATTGAGCGTGTTTGACATTTAGTAGATAGTGGAATAGTTAACAGTGGATTCAGTTGGTCAATAATTTGACTAGTGGAATAAATTTATGTGTTTTCATATGATGTTTGATAATTTAGTTGTTTGACCATAACAATTAGTAGAAAATGTCATATTTCAAAATGATAACACAAAACTGTCCTATTTGCAGTGTTTCCTTTTCAGCGTCTCCGTTCAAAAACGCTAGATCCGATCAAACAACGTTTTCAATAAGTGAAAACCACCATTTTTTTGGCTGAAATGTCATTTTCCAAATACACTCATTCTATTTTTAATTCCAAGTTCATATATATCCTTTTATATACTCCCTATTATATATACATATATACGAAGTATTTATATATGTTGAGTTTCTCTTAGAGTAAGAATCTTAGATGAGTTTATATAATTTAAGAGCGTATGGAATATTAGAGATGCTGCAAACAAAGTTAGAATGAATGACTAATACTACTTCCATTCTTAAATAAGTGGTGAGTCAAGGAGACAATATGTTTACAAATTAGTAACAAATTAAAACAAAAAAAAAATCAAAAAATTCAATTTATCTCTGTATTCTTAATTTACTTCAATTCTGTATTGCTATAATACTAAAAAACTCAAATTTTGAAAATGTAAATTGAGACAAATTTAATAATATGTATAATAAAATAATTTATTATTACATTAATAAATAAAATATAGTTAAATAAAACATATGAATATTGTATTATATTGGTTTGGTTGGGCGCAGGATGGGTCAGATGAGTGGTTGGAGATGAGCCACTCATGGGGAGCGAGCTGGATGATCAACGCCGGACGGGCTTTGAGAGGACCATTCTCAGTAAGGGTAACGACACTCTCCACCGGAGCAACCCTCACCGCAAGAGACGTTATTCCCGACGACTGGACACCTAAAACCACTTACACTTCGGGCATCAACTTCTAGCCTAGCTAGGGGCAACCGGCCGGCCATTGTCTTTAATATGGTGGTCCGGCCAACACAAGCTATCTAGCATGCCAACTGCTTTTATCTTTGTTCTCGAGCAATAAAACAATACGGACTAAAAAGGAATAAGAAATTATTGAGTCTTTCTTTCTTTGGACCTTTTCCAGCTGCTTTTTAGTTTAACGATTGTGAGTCATGTAAAGTCTAATGATCGAATGTGTGTATCTATGTGCTGGGCGAAAGCCATTCATGCTAGCTTGAGTTGGTCCTTCAGCCTATACTAGCTACTTCTTGTTTGTAATTGTAAGCTCATTTTGGATTTATTGGATGTGTAATGTTCCCTTGTTCCTGTTTATCTACCCTTATCAAGCTTTATATATATATGAAAAATACAATTATACAAATTAAACAACCCCAAACCGTGCTTGTTCTCATTAATTAACCAAAAAGTTTCATGTTGAGACAGACCATAGAGGTGCTTTTTAGAATTAAAACATATTTAGGATTGGATAAAGTATACAGAATTTACCTTCATTCTTTTATTAGTTACAATATCATTAATAATATTCCATCCATCCCAAAATTAACTTCCGATTTTAACTTTATGGGTTTTTAGGTAGGAAAAGAATAAAGTTTGACTTTCCAATAGTATCCTTAAGAGTAGTGGTCCATATTAATTAAAGAAGGTAAGTGAATAGTAAAAGTAATAGAAATTCAACTAAATAGGAGCAAAAACGTTTTGAAATTTCAAAATAGGAGTATCATGTTTTTTATTCCTTTACTAGGAGTAATCTACCAAGTTTGGAAAAAATGTCATGTTTTAAAGACTAGTAATGTCAAACTTGGCTGAAATTTACTCCTATTCAATGAATAAAAAACGTAACATGATACTCCTATTTTGAAATTTCAAAACTTTTGTACTCCTATTTAGGGAATTCTCTCTAAAAGTAAAGGGTAAATAGGTACTTTGAAAGTAAAAACTTAACAAAAATAGAAATAAAGTGAATTGGAAAGTTAATTTTGGGCATCCCAAAAAGGAAAGGTGGGATTTATTTCGGGATGGAGGGAGTAATTATTTTGGAAACAATGGGCATCAAGTAGTTATTTTAAAGTTGCAATGTTTAGGATTGGATAACTGTCCGGGTATCTAGCCAAAACTTCAATTTCCTAAATTGTCCTCAAAATAAATGTTTTTTTAGAGATCAAAATAAAAGTTTAAAAGTTGTTCTTATAACTTTTCTAATTTTCTATAAAGTTATTATTTCAAATGTATAGTTATTAGTATATGAAGGTTTATTATTAGTTGAAAACATGAAATGATTACATATTTATGACTTAATTAAAGATCGTTTAAAAAAATGTGACTAGTGACTAGAGTAGTAATGGAATCTTCTTATGTTTAATTTTTAAGCTTAAGCTACCATGATACTACATTTAAGTAATATATATATACTATATTTAAGAAGAACTATACCATTCATATATTTGGTTGCAGGTCTATTAAAATGTTTGTCTTGGATTGAAAATTTCTTGTCTAATCTAGACTTATCTGATTTGGTCTTGACATGCACTTTGTTCGTGAAAAGGTTGCACACTCTCAAATCCGGGTTCTTCATATTCCACCTTGCAACCAATATGCAAATATTTATTACTATACCCCGCAATTTTTACTTGAACAATTCCATTCTAGTCTCAGCATTCATGGGCTGCCCGCTTCGACTGTGGGAGCCAGCAGGTTAACTGAGCCGAGTCGTGAGTACTCGTGACATTTTATAAGCCAAAGCTGAGACACTTTAAAAGATAAACCCTTAAAATTGTATAATTATATATATTCCTTTTAATTAGATGCTATTATTTACCTCTAGAATCTGTACAAGTGCTCAACTCTATCAATTTTAATACTATTCACACCGAATTAATCAATAATTTTAGTGGAATGTTAATCTGTTAAACAACCTCGAAGTGCAAAAAAGGCTAGAATTAGGCAACCTGTAACTCATTTTTAGTAGAATTAACTAATTAATAATTATATGTATAGTATACGTATATTATTAATTAAAAATATTATGAACCCTCATGAAGAGATGAGTCTCGAGAACAAGCCCCTTTGCCCATGCTCCAGAACCAAGAAGATACTAAGAAATTTTGATATGTATGTAAGAAACATGATGGAAAAGCATATCATGGAAGGTGTAAGGGAGCAAGCATTCATGCAAGAAATTTAATTTGGTATCACACCTTGTCTGGTATGATTCGACTTGAAGATCACATGAGATCAACAAAGCAAGAAAACATGGAAAAATCAACTTTGGTCTTATACTCCCGATCGGGTATATTGACATACCCAGACAAGTACAACTTGATTAACAATTTTATAGTTACTGCCAAGGATATATACTCGTTTAGGTGTCCGATCTGGCCACCTCATTTCTCCTGCAAAAACAAATGTTTCCTTTTCATTGGGAGTAGCATTTGATCCCTTCTTATCCTTGTAACTTTTGTAGTCTTTTCATATTGATTTTACAATATTGATGCTTGTGATTTGTAATTTGTGAGTTATTGTTCCTTAATAATCCTCGTTCTATTGAGTATCAATTGCATTCATAGTTTGTTATGTTTCGTATTGATTTTGAGCATTGTTAAGTGATCAATTAGTAATATTTTTATATTGATTATTACTACAATCAATTATGAGGAGTAACTTTAGATTACTAATCCATGATCCTATGGTTAATAGTCTAAAGAGAAATTAATTAAATTGAAGTTGTGTGTTGATGCTGTCAATCTTAGTTGATTTTCTTCGAAAGACAAATTGCAACTATCAAATCGATATAATGTGGTGTTCTGTATTGACCAACAATAATGTTATAAATGAACAATATCGTTATTAATAGCCTTGTTGTCTAGATGAATAGAAGTTCCTCCACGATTACGTTTTCAAGAGAGGATAATTAAAGTGATAATCATAACCAATGAGCACTTGTTTAAGAAGAAATTAGCAAAATCAAGACTGATTACCCTTGTTATTTTAAATTCATTCATCTTAGTGTTATTTACTTCTTTAACTATCAGAGTATCCAAAACCTCTTTTTCCTTTACGTATATACTTTGATTCCTTATGTTTATACACACCGGGAAAAACAATTTTAATTTTTTATTGTGAATACAAACTCTACTGCATTATACTCTATAGTTAGTGCTAGCAGTGAAATTAATTTTGGAGCGCACGACCACCTATTACCATCAAACAAGACTGACCACTCGGCTATCTTTTTTTGTTCAACTATCTATTATTGTTGTTGTCGTCGTAAATATTATCCCATCGTTGAGGTATATGCACTTCTCGGTTGACCAAATATTGTGTATTTGTACATTGTAGTTCCCTTTTCATGTAGAATAACTTTGATTTATATACTTAGCATGTTATGAATTTTGTTTTGATTTACCTATTTCAAGGACATAATAATGAAATAACATGATGAATTTCCATGCCTTGTAACTTGGCCACCTCCCAAAAATAACCGGTATTCGAATGTCTTGCGGATTCAATGCCTAAAGTGAAGGTGGGTCCCAAAATAAAAAAGAGTATCATATATAACTAATTGTGAATAAAATAACTCAAGAAGGTGAGAATGGAATCAAAACAAAAGTTGTAAAATTTTCATAGTTCCTTTGTGTAACGGCATTGGAGGCCTCTGTCGTCATAAACAGTCCTCCTCCGTCTCCGTCTCTGTCTCTGGTAATGCACACACTTCCATATTCCCATTAATTAGCAATATGGATCAAATTCGCTCCTTTTTTGTGGTGAGTCTGGTTGTGTCCTCTGCATTTATTGTTGCCGCTGGCTCCCTCCGGCACGTGAAGGACCCAAAGTGGCATAACGCCACCGCGACTTGGTACGGGAGCCCTGAAGGCGATGGCAGTACTGGTAGAACCCTCAACCTTGCTAAATGAGATACATTTTGTTAACTACTCGTATCAAATAAGCTGTATTTTATGATTTGATAATAAGAAATGCCCTAAATGGAGATAAACGTTACATTTTTAATTTTTAAAATAGGACTAATATGTTTTAATTAGATAAACATGTGTAATTATTGTTATTCTTTGATATTAGTTACTAGAATTTAAACAAGACAATATTTCTCAAGCTGAACATTAATTTCTCACATTTAGAAAGTAAAAACATAATATGCATATATTTCATAATTTCAATACGGCTTTACTCTTATATTAAATATCTTTCATTTGATAATCATGATGTGACGATTTAATGTGGAAATTGGAATGTAAAAGTGACTTTGCGGTAGTTATTCTTGTATGTGTTAGAAGGCTTGGGTACAATTAAAATCTAATCCCTACATGAAATCAATCTCCACTCCTAACCAATAAACTTTCGACACTCATTTTATTTATTAAAGTTATCACATATCGGCCACCCATGACTATGAGAATACAATCGATATATTAAGTTTTGAATTGCCTCCAACCATGTTCAGTCTATTAAGTGAAACCCCAAGATTTACTATGATATTAAAGATAATTAAACTCCAACGAAAAACTATATCTTGCTAAACCTCGAGCATACGAATCACAAGATCGATCTGCTCCAATGAATCATCATCTTGCAAGGCGTATCAAGCTATCATGTACATCCACATATGAAAATATCAAGTAATTAATAAATAATTGTTTTTGAATATTCCTCCTACCCAATACTTGTTCCAAAGCTTAATATTTCACCATCATATTATTCCGTCCATCTAGGGGGGACGGCATGTTGCAATATATATATTGTTCGATACTATATACTTCGTATATTCCGTTCTTTTATAGTTACATGGACCACTTTGCACATATTTCAAGGCACACCTTTGATTCATACGGAGTAATAGAACTTATTCTATTTTTTTAAAAAAATAATGTATATTAAAATTTTATAATGAAATGAATTGAACAATATATTTTTAAAAATAATTCTCATAAATTAATAAATAAAATGTACTACCTCCGTCCCGAAATAATCGTCCTGGTTTGATCTTCACACAAATTAAGAAAGTGAAGTTGACTTCACACTGTAGTGACACTGTTTGGCACTGTAGCGACACTGTTTGGCACTGTTTTGCACTGTTTTACACTGTTTTGTATAGATTTGTTTACCAAATAAGGAAAGGAGACAATTATTTCGGAACAAATCGAAAAGGAAAGCAGGACAATTATTTAGGGACGGAGAGAGTAGTAAAAGTAGAACATATTGGATGTCTTGTTTCATATTGCAGGAAGTATAAACTATTAATGTACTACCTCTGTTTCATATTGGATGTCTTGTTTTAGTTTGACACGATTTTAATAAAATGGTTGAAAAGTAAAAGATGTGGTTGATAAATGATACTCCCTCCGGTTCCTATTAAAGTTCTCAGTTTGACTTCACACAGATTAAGAAAATAAATTTGACTTTACTGTGGAATGCACTGTTTGGCACTGTTTGACACTGTTTGGACATTGTTTGACACTGTTTGGCACTGTTTTGCACTGTTTTGTTTCCTACAATGGAAGTGTGAACTTAAATAAGGGACATCCCTAAAAGGAAAGTGAGAACTTTAATACGAACCGGAGGGAGTATTTTTTATTATAATAAAGTGAAATGATATGGATCACATATTTCTTGCTAAAAGGGAAGCTCGACTTCATTTTGGAACAATCCAAAACGAAAAGTAAGACAACCAAAATTGGACGGAGGAGTAATATACAATAAAATAGGGGTTTAATGCACCAAACCCCACTGTGATATGGAAATTCGGCGTGTTAGCCACCTAAGATTTAAAAAATGCACCAAACTCCCTTGTGTTTTAATTAATCATGCACAGAACCCCTTTAGGATGAAAACTAGGGGCTTAATATCTTGCAAAAATTGACTGAAAATGTGGCAAATTTGATGGAAGAGTAGGAGGGGCATGCGGGTACGGGACAATGGTGGATGTACAACCATTTAGGGCTAGGGTGGGAGCGGTGAGTCCGGCGTTGTTCAAGGAAGGAGAAGGTTGTGGCGCTTGCTACAAGGTCAAGTGTCTGGACAATACCATTTGTTCGAAAAAGGCTGTGACGGTTATCGTCGCTGATCAAGCTCCCCAACGTTACAGTGATCGACCGCTTTTCGACCTAAGTGGCTCTGTTTATGGCCGCATGGTCATCACTGGCCACGGCAGCCGCCTTCGTGACCGTGGTGAGATGCCCATCATTTACCGCCGGTAGGTACTCATATTACTTCGTACGGAGCAATTCATACTATGGCGTTTGTTTAACTTGTCTACTTATATTATACCCATTCCTTATTACTTGGCCAGATTTTATATTTATAGAAATGGCTAAGGATCAAATTATAAGCAAAGTTTAAAAATAGGGATGAACTATTAAACATGATTTATTGCTCAAATAGAATTATGTAATACTATTAAAGTAATAAGTTAGATTAAAACTTTCCAAAATAGGTGTATATGACTATATGAGTCTGGTTGTTTTCCCATTGAAATGTTCACTTATGTGATAATGCAAAGTCGGCTTATAAAATGCATCTAACGTATTTGCTTGATTGCCCTCACCTGAAATACTTTATGTAGTACTCTATGTATATCTTAGCGCGTAAAATGTTTAAAAAATTGTGATACAGTCTATATTAATGAGTCAAAATAAACTATGTAAATTTCTTTACGTCTATACATAATACATTTCACATGTAAAGTAATTATTTCGCATACTACTAAATGCTAAAACATACAAAAACATACAGAGTAAATGCTCTTATTGATGTATTTTACTCATGTTAGGACACCGTGCAAATATAAGAGAAAGAATAGTCTTTCATGTGAACGAGGGGTCAACCCCTTACTGGCTTTCCCTCTTGGTCGAGTTCGAAAATGGAGATGGTGATATTGGATCCATGCACATCCAAGAGGTAATGTAACTATTGTAAAGTGAAACGATCATGACACAGACAATTCACTTTTGCCCGTGTCACAAAACAATTCACTTCGGTTTGTGTCACATACAATTTACTTTACAAAAATGAAAAAATTATTTGTGCATACACAAAAACAGGCATGTAATAATTTAGTTAACAATATCTTATTTGAATAAAAAAAAGACTATTTGTACACATTATTTCCATACATGACTCATATACATCGCGTATGAAGTTTTTTTTTATATATGTGAATAGCCTTTTCATAGACAAAAAAAAACATCCATAAACAGAGTTGTATGGGCCGTGTATGAAAATGGCGTATACAAGAACAAATGTTATTGAATAATCAAATGAATGAAGAATCATATGTATTTGTTGCAGACGGGATCGAAAAAGTGGCTAGAGATGAATCACTTATGGGGAGCCAACTGGGTATTCAACGGGCCTTTGAGAGGGCCATTGTCCGTAAAGATAACGACACTCTCAAGCGGAGCCACCCTCACCGCAACCGGTGTTATTCCCCGAAATTGGGCTCCTAAAGCCACATACACTTCTCGCCTCAACTTCCACAACTAATTACTATTTCTGTCCACAAATTAAGCAAAAAAAGTTGTGTCATCCATGTGTGCCACCGACATAATCCATTTATATACTCCCTCCGTCCCGCTGAGATTGTCTTATACCAAATTTGGTAAAGACTGTGTGGCTCTAAATATTCTTACTTTATTCTTACTTTATCAATTTAATATCAATCATACAAAACCACTTTTCTTAATAATTGTGCCACATTCTCTCGTCCGAATCTTAGTGGGACGGAGGTAGTATCATTTACTTCTCTTAGTTTAATTCTGTATTGAGTGTACAAGTGTAAACTCCAATGAGTGTATATATATTGATGTATGTAAATTATACAGCGTCACTAATCTTGACATAATGTGACAATGTTTTTGTCATGTAAAATTCATTTTTTGTCACAAAAACTTTTATATGACGAATTTTGAGCGTCACATTGTTCGTCATCGTAGTTCCGTGGTATTAGATATATGTGACAAATTTTTGATTTGTCACCAAATAAATAACATTTAATGACCTTTTAAAACTTCGTCACCAATATTAATCACTTTTCGTGACGCCAAATGTGTCACCTTTATATCGAATTTTTTTGTCATCTAAATATGTATTTTGTCACCAATAATAACATTTAATGACGTTTTAAAACTTCGTCACCATTATTAATCACTTTTAATGACGCCAAATGTGTCACCCTTATATCGATTTTTTTGTCATCTAAATTTGTATCTTGTCACCAATAACTCACAATAAATGACAAAATCTTAAATTGTCAACAAAACAAAACTTTTGGTGACGATTCACATTGTATAACTTAATATAATATCGTTACATTTTATAACTTTTGATGAAATTTCACATCATATAACATTATAACTTAATATAATAATGATACCTTTATATAATTGAAAAAATAATTAGCTGATAAATTAAAGAGAACTATTTTTATTAACAAATCAAATTGCTATAAGAGTATTCAAACACATTAATATTAATCAAATACACAAGGGAACCGTGTAATCTATTTTCTTAATACCAACAAAATATACAATAGAATTGTACAATCTTATTTTCTACAACGTAACTACAACTCAACATGATACCATCATGCCTCATCTTACTAACTTGAATGACATATGTAATTCAAAATAGTAGCGGCACCAACATCTCGAATCTTTGGGCCTCTGACTTTAGGTGCATCTAGATTCACCATTAGTATGCTTGCTCAATTGGGATTAAGAGACACCTAATATTATGAGTACACAAACGATTAATAATGAAAATGTAAATTTCACATTCACGTTAATAATCTAGTGGGAGAAGAGAGTGAGACAAGAGGATCCATGATATATTATATGCAAGTTCAAATCTTGGTACCATTCGCTCACCTAGGCTGAATAGCATGAATAAAAAACTATGAGAAGCCATAGTAAATAATTATGCATCAGGAGAAACAATTGCTAATTATATCAAAACAATTGCTAATTATATCAACCCTAGAAGAGAATCCATATGGTGTCAATTTCATAGACATTGAATTACTTGAACAGAAGATAGCTTTACATTTCCTATGATCATCAAATGGAGAAGACAAACATATAAGCATTAGAGAAGTACTAAGAAGATTTAGAGGTTGCCCATGAAACTTAGGTGACTTAAAATAAATGGACTTAATACCACCTTGGTTAACCTTACAAATTGCAAATGATCTCTGCTCCAACAAGAATAGGAAATTAAATAAACATTCAAGCACACCAATATATAAAACTCATTCCTAATGCATTGTATTCATAAGCTACAACCTTCTAAAGGGCATAAATTGTAGAAAATATCGAGCAAAGGAACAAGATGATTTTTAAAGAGAAAATTGTAATCAAATATTAGAATATAGTAGATGGAAACCTACTAATATTCGCCAATAATCTAGATCAATGATGCATGTCACTAATAATGAAGATAGCTGAAAAAATTACACAGTATTTTGAGTGAGTAGACATCCCAAAAGGAAGAAATGTTAACACGGCTGAACAATACCTTTGCTTCGGGCACATCCAAACTGTCCAAACTCTCACAAAGTGTAGCAATGATGGACTCATATCTAAATGAGAGAAGACACAGATGGCCTTAGTAAGTTAGTACTCAATAATTATTCAAGGATATATGATAATTATTATATGAAATCTAGGAAAATATGGTGCTGAAACACACGTATTAGGATATCTTCTGAAGATGTCTTTGATTACTATAATGGCTTTTGAACAACATAGTTAACTTTAGTTTTGATCAACTCAAGCAACACACTGATGCAACGCTTAGCTGCTGTCTCCAATTTAATCACACAACGTCCAATAACACGTATGGCTTTCCTAACAAAATCAACATCTACTTCAGTAGCATATTCCTTGAACTCCAGGAGAACCTGCAAGAGATTTTTCTTGAGAACAGACATAACAAAAACGTAGAAGAGAGCAGGTTAACTCCAAAGGTTAATTTGAAACTACCTATATAACAGGACACTATAAGTAACATGTCAACATATTTAACATAAGCCACATAATATATGTTATTTTCACCTTATCATAGACCTGGAATTTTATATTAACACCTAAAAACATTATTTGCTGATTGCAATTATACTAAGTAGGAAAATTAATTAATAATTTAAAAAATCAGAAAAACTAAGAAGAGTTACCTCTTAGGAATTTTCACAAACACCTTGAAGGCATCACCAGTTTTTCTTTCTCGCTCACCGCGGACACTGCCTATCACAACCTTTATATTATTAGAGAGTGTGTCAATAGAGAGTGGAAGTTGGAGATGGAAGACCGGAGACAAAAGATGTATAAGCCGCGATAGGCGGTGCACAGATAAAAACAAAAAACGGCTTGAACATATTGGAATTGAACATATACCTGTGAACGGTTGGTTGTTTCCGACAGGAACTGGATTCGACCAGGTAGATAGATGTGGTCATTCCAATCACAGATCATTACAATTGTTTAGGCATAGCAGCGGAGGAGGGGACCATCGTCTCTTTCAAGTTGGGATTCTACTCCCTTGAGGTGTCAAGAGCTGCAGAGAAGCGGTGAGGTTGGCGGTGACTTGCGACGCTGCGCCGAAGGTGGAGGAGCGAGCGAATAGGGCAACAATCGGGCTTGGGGTTCTCTTGGTTTTCAAACTCTAAAGGCGAGAAAGTGCTTTAAGGTGACACTCGGGCTTTCCTCTACCATTCCGGAAGGCTGCTTTGAGGTTAAATTACTCAGGGTTTGAGATTAGAATGAACACTAAAAATCTATAACTAGAATAATGCCCCAAGCTAGATAAGTATAATTTTATGAAAATTATTAATATGACCATGTTTCTACTTTTTATATAGGTTACTTAAGGTAGCCCATTTTGCATAAATTTAACCCACCATCAACATAAAACTTTTACCAATTATAAATTTAAACCCATTTTGCACTAGTAGTTACACATTAGAAAGGGTTTGAAAAATATTAGGATATTTTTACTTGAAATTATTTCAATTCAACCAGATCAGAACAGATTAAATTAGACATAAACAAATCGGACTAGATTAGAACAAAGTTAAATAGAATAAACAAGACTTTGACGATGGTAAAATAAACATAAATCAAACGTCTAATAAACCAACGCAATTAATTTTATAGACAAAATGATAAATAATTATTATAAATAATATAGCGAGCTTAATGGGAAATTGTCATTGTTATATAATATAATTACTTTTAATTCTTTTATTATCAATAAAATGATAACTAATATCAGATCACAATGTCATTCAGTCATTATCCATTAATATTATGTTTTTATTTATAAATTTTGCGCTCACTTTTGTTTAAAAATACTTTGTTAAAAACTAAACTATGACACATCTACATTTATCGTCATCAAAGGTAGCATCAATGACGAGATAATATTGTCATTATTTTACAAAACAATTAATGACAAGATATGATTATGTCATAATAATTAAAGATTATGTGACATAAATTTTCGTCATTAACTATTTAAAAAATGTCATCAAAAAACTTCCCTCCGGATTTTTGGCGTCAAATTTTGGCGCTCAAACTTGAAGTGACGAATTAGATCTTATTGTCATAGTAAACATCAATTAATGACAAAATATAGGAATTAAAGTGACAAACAATAACATTGTCATAACAAATTACTTTATTGTGACGAATTTGAGTTTTGTAACTAGGGGTGAGCATAACCCGAACCCACCCGAAAACTCGATCGGGTCTGCCCTCTTCTAGCTTATTGGGTCGGTTGACCCGAACCCGAAAACCCGAACCGAAAAGCCCAGCCCATGTTTTAAGGGTTATGGGTTACGGGTAGGGTATTATAAATCCCTACCCGACCCGCCCGAATACCCGAACTACCCATACTATATATACGAATTATTTATCAATAACCCTAACCCTAACTGCCTAACACTCCAGCGCCTCCACTCTTCAGTCTTCACTCGTAACTCCCTCTCTCGATCTCTCCTACTGCGAGTCTGCGACTTCTCTCTAACCATCCCTGTCAACTCTCCGTCGTAGGTCCGACCTCTGTAGTGTATTTGTACCTCCGGACTCCGGTGGAAGCTTGTACTCTCGATCTCTCACTCTCTCGGTCTCTCTTACTGAGGTATAAACGTTAAATACCTAAACTGTATGCTTGGTGGTTTGGTGGAAGCATGATCCATAAGTGTGATGTGTTATCTGTTTTGTATATGAATTAGTTGTATTATTTTGATGCACTAGATTCGGACCCTGATACCCTTTCTATGAATTAGTTGTATATGAATCTGTTTTGGTGGAAGCTTGAAACCCTAGATTCGGGCCCTGATACCCTTTCTATGAACTACCTGTTAATCTATGATGCTTTGGTCATGCATATGAATATATGATTATATGAATCTATGATTCTGAGATTTTGATATAAATGGTCTCTGAATATGTGCTGCCTCGATGATGCATGTGTGATTCTGAGATTTTTATATAAGTGGCCCCTGAGTAAAGATGATGGTTGATTTATTATGAGTTCTGAGTCTTTTGACAAGTGTTGAAGTTGCCTTTTTCTACTCTAACACTCAAATGAGTAGTTAGAGTGAACTGGTATCTTCTAAGTCTGTAGAGAAGTGAATAAGCCTACTGCTTATATCCTTCTGTAGATCAACTTGATGATTGTTCCAGACTTTAATTTCAATGTATGATGTTGTGTTCAATCTGGAAGCTTGCATTATTGAGTTTTTTGAACTATAACTTCCTATCATTTATCAGAATGGAAGTTGCCTTTTTCTACTCTAACACTCAAATGAGTAGTTAGAGTGAACTGGTATCTTCTAAG